GCCCCTCCCCCCGCCCTCACCCCGCCCACTCCCGCACTCTTCACTTCGACTCTTGGGTAAACGTCCACGTACTATTGATTAGATTTTGTCCTGACTTCTTTAGTCGTGAATGAGAGTGCTGCTACCTCTACTCTATCCCGTTTTATTTTGTTTTGTCGACAGTATATGTTAGTATTCTGAGTTGAACACTTCCTGCACAGCAATCTACACTCCTCAAACGCACTCTTGTATAGTCTAGCATTCGTTTGTTTAGCAGAATATATCTACGAAAATAATCAAATAACGAAACCTTAAAGTCAAATATTAACTTGTTTATTAATGGTCTTCTTCTACAGCGACTGGTCTCACAGTGCGTAGAACTTTAATCAGTTGAGAATACTATCTAAATACTTATTTGTCACGACAAGGCAGTCGATAGAAGCCACAAGTGAAGATAGAATACGAGCTGTAAGCAGTAAAGAATTACTAGAAAGCGCTTAAGAATATAGAAAAGCTTTCGATGTGTAGGGTTAAGACGGTAGAAGGAGTTCAAGTTCGGTAAAACGCTGTTGTTAACGAGTATAAAGTATTTAAAAGTTCTAAAATAATTTAAGACAACAGTAGAGAGTCGATTTGAAAGGTTATGGCACCTCACACCAGCTATGTTACCTATGTATACCGCAGTACGGCGCTGTTGTCAACTCTGTCGAGGTACGTGCATGTAACAGCCCGAGCCCTGCGCCCCAGCGGCGCCACAGCCCGCGCGGCGCGTCAGGCCGCCGGCCTCGACGGGCTGACACCAGCCATACACGATGCACGTTTGACTCACATCAAATATCGACACGTTATACCAAATACAACGATCTTCAATATTGATAATTTTAATGCAATACGGTGATGGTTTAGTTATAGGATTTGTTTATTAAGGTGTTGGGATGTAACAAACACATGTGCACACACATTATATATATCGACTGTGTCCTGACCACACCTCTTTGTCTTGCAACGACAGTAGTTCTTCTCACATCCCTAGTACTATCCAATGCAGCGAGTCAAATATTCCAAAGAGCTACGATTGGATCAGAACAACTGTTGTATTGTGTATCAAGTCGTCACTTCTTCTGACGGATACTTCTACAAACTGTTGTCAAATTCTTAACGCGACAGTTTGTCTAGTCTTTTTTTCTTTCAAATATATCTTCAACTTCTTGTTTCCTGAAGTCTCTTCAAGTAATTGTAAGCAATGCTCAACGAGAGGAACCTTTTAAACTTTTAATTGCATGACAACATCTCGTGTATATGGACATAGGTGTAGGCTATCGCTTTTCTTAGAATATCCATTCCTTATTCAGTAGTTTTTTTTCTGTCACGTTTCACGTAATTAAGTGCTACTTATAGAGCTGAAATATAGACATATTATAGCATTTAATGTTATTCATCGACTGATTGTTAAGCACATCACATCATCATCAATACTTTGTGATTGTACCAAGTTATTTAGTCACTATTGTTTAAGTTTTTAGATGTTTAATTTTTTCCATGGGTTCACATTGAATTCATTATTTAGTTATAAGACACTCTGCCATATTCAAAAGTGCACGTATGGTAGTAGTCTGCATACAGTTCCATTGCTCATTGTTTATCTTCTATTTTTATTACATTTTTATATAATCTAAGGTTAGACAACTCGTTGAATATTTTCATGCAGAATCGTACTTCCACGTAACCTTTCAGACAGTTGAGAGAGAACGAATCTACCCAAGTTGACGCGTTATTTCACCTTGAAATCTGCATAAAAGTATTTTCAACTGTTATATGAACATAGTAACTTCCAGCCTCACCTTATAGTACCACGTTTTTTGTTTTATTTTTATTTTAATAAAATTATATTATGCTATTTTTTTCTTTTTATTTTCTTTTATGTTTTTCCTAATATTTGGCGGGGGGATTGTCAAAGTGGACGTGATATACGGATGGCGCTGCACATAAATATCAATGAACTGAAACAATTAATATAACTACAAAACGATGCCATTGCGAGATTAGTTCAACTTCGAAGATGGTTTTTTGTTTGCGAGGACACCGAGTGCGAAGTGTAATTTTGCTGTAAATGTGTGATATTATTTTCGAATCGTTGTTAAAATAGAGAGGCTTCTGAAGCCTGCGATGTATTTAGTGTTAACTCCGGGTGCTTTGACGATTGTGGACTCTGATAGTTTACTTTGTTGATTGTATTAGATAAGATACCGTAGCCGGCTGCACTCCTCCTCGCGCTCACCAACGTTCAGACAGCCATTCGGCAGTGCAGTTGGTTAGAGGTCCTTTTTTTAGAATTTATTAGGCATTAGTTAACATTGCCTCACCAGTTAGAATCATTACAGTACCTCGACTAGTACGTAATACAACGTAACGCAATAATTACTACTAACATACAAGATGTTTGATGAATGACGACCCTACGATACGTGTACCCCACATGTCCGCTACGCGTCGCACGCACGCAACAGCACTAAAGTTTATATTATTACCTAATAATTAATAAATACCTCAATTTTACTGATAGTAAGTATATTTGAAAGTATTTAAAGTTTTATCAAACATCCTGTACATAGTTATCTTTGTCACACTCATATAGATATCATTTCATTCGAATAGACTAGGCAAAACCGGCCTTAATTACAGTACATAGGATAATGTGTAAACTTGTCACGAACATTCGAATGTGACTTCGTGAATGTTACAACGTATGCGCTCTACGAGTATCCGAACATGTGTTAGTCCTGAGTATAACCTGTGCTCATTTCGGTCCAACTACGGAAATAGCACAGCTACCCTAGTTCGTAAAGGAATTGAATGCAAACATACTGCCATATTTTTGTAAAGTGACTATGTTACCCATAGAGCAAAGTACCCCAACGAAAAAGTACAAAAACGAGGCCCTGAGTGAACGAACATTCCTTCAACTTTAATGTTTAACGTATCAAGTGTATTAATATAAAGCGGAGTACGCATGTAAGTACCACACGCACGATGTACCTGTGCCTGCGCAAGAGACGGTGTATCCTGTGCGAAGGCTTAGAAACAATTGTATCTAATTTATTACACTTAAACCACCGGGCGTTAAGAAAATTGTAAAGTTATGAGATGGTTGTGCACGATAGAATATTATTTATGTAATTAAACTAATCGGTCTGTCCAAAATATAAAATTAAATGATGATATTGGCTTATTCGGCCGAGCCAGGCCTGGCAGGGCGAGGGCCGGCCGAGGTACCGACACCGCACACAGCCGAGTCTAGTGGGTTAGTCGTAATTTGAGCTTGATATATCGGTAAGTAGTGACCTATGCATGGAGCCCTAGCCAAACTAGGTACCTAATATTTAGAGTACCGCCGCGCGCCGCGAGCTGCATTCGACACTCAATTTTTAAAGTTTTTAGCTAGAATGTTGTAAATAGTCAAATGTAATTTTGTATGTTACATAAGAATTTTTCAATATACGTCTCCTTTGCATTAAAATAGAAGGCTACGGTTACATTAAAACGTTTATATTCAAATACTATCGTGTGTAGTTTGTTGTGAATTAGGCTTCGATGTCACTGTATGCTAGTTACGTATAGAGTTCGGACGTCTCATTGTAAAAATGTAAAATACACGCTATTGATTTGGGATTAAAATATGAATGTTAAATAAGTATTAATATTAAATGACGATTTTTCCTTTAATATTTTTATACAGCATTACAATATATTTATCGCAATTAAAAGTTTATAGAGGTGGGTCAGTGTGCAATTTAAAAAATAAAAATAGTGTTTAAAATTGTATAATCGCCTTAACGAGAGAGAATATAGCTGAGTCCTCCTGCGTGTGTCTGCTTGACGTTTAATGTTACCATTATTGTTTATGCAATGTGTGCATGTCCTCGGAACTTGTTGCTAGGTGATACTAGAGGCCGTATGTGGGAGGTCCACAGACCTCCGTGCGATCTCCTTCCTATTGTTTATTGAGCCGGGCGTAAATTAAAATATTACATTGATTGACGATACAAGATTTATTGAACGTAAGCGGCTGTTACTTATGAAATAAATTAAACATTGGGAAGTTCGATGTTGCTGTCAATATTTTAATTCACCCTGTGTGACCACGTACCTGTCTATTAATAATTACAAGTTTACCGCTGTTAAGTTGTTGCTCCATATTTTTACTAAACTCAGATCGATGCGACCATGTGACGTGCGCAAGTATGTAGTGATGGTGATCTAATCGTCTTAGCTCTTCGGATTAGTATAAATTACCTATCGGATGTTGACAAATGACAGGAAAACTATATCTAATAGTTGTAGTTAAATATAACATAACAAAGCATATGTCCACTGAAATGTACATTGTTGTATATAAGTAAGTCTGACTCATGTTATCATTTCTAGGGGCACAACTTCTCTATATATATGAGGGATGTGCCCATTTTGCATTATGATGGCCCACTACAGGTTCATAAAGGTCTATTAATTAAACATAGGTGCTTACAAAACTTATTAGGTAATCAGCAACAATTTTGAAAGCAATATTTTATGTAGAACTGACTTATTTACCAGATCAGTGGACACGCGCTTTCGTATCACGACGCGAGACGAATATAATTAAGATACATACATATTTCCGCCCCCGAAATTTCTCTCTACGATTCAACGATATCTTAAAATCTACGAAATCATTTACTAGATCGATAATTATACAAAAACACTAACTAAAAAAATGCCTACTAAGCATACTTAGTAAATCCATGTTCTGTGTGCATTAAATTCTAGAATTAACAACATTGTTGACTATTGCTAATAGCTTGAGGTTGTTATCGTTTTTAGAACGGACAAGGTGAATTTTTCATGTATTATATATACGTATATATAAATCTTACGCTCTATAACGAATGTTCGCTAGACCCTTTTTGTAAGCTGTCGCCATCTAACGTGTTGTTACACTAGTCCTCTCTTATTAAAGTAGTATCAATATATTAATGATGGCTGTGAGATAAAATATTGTAACAATTTAAATTTATATTGTGTAAATGAAGATATTAAATAGCAACATAACTGATTGCTCTGTCGCAACGAGTCTGCTGCTATCCAACTACGTTTCTCTGTCCATTTATCAGATTGGTTTCCATTTGAACCTTTGTTCGGGCATACGGTTTGAATATGAACCAAACGTTGTTGATCCCTGATAATTGGGCCTGTATTATTTTGGCACTGTATATTCATGCATGATATAGTTACTATGCAACAAGTATGCTAGATCGTTATCTCCGTAAATCATAAGTATAAAACAGATATTCCTAAGTAAGTAGTTATGCATATGCTTCTTATTTTTATAGATCACTTGAACTTGCATAACATGACAGACAGAACAGGTATCCAACAGTCTAGTACTGACATAATGACTACTATTACATGCATCCTACACAGTGCCAAATAAAACCAAACGTTTCGATCAACTTGGCGCGAAAGACGCCTCGACACAACGGGTTGCCAAGTGAAATAAATTCTAAATCTAAAAGCGTACTTTCCTATCAGTCTTAATAAAAAAAACTGAATTCTATAAATTACATCTAATTATTTAAAAAACATTTAAAAGTATACAATTTGGATCGGTTAAAATTTTTAAATGGCAACCCAAAATTCAAGCTCACAGCTTTCTCCGCAGTTGCTCAAATTCTCAGCATAATAACTCCATGTTTCACCGCTTCTAGTTAACCATTTACAAACCACCATATGACAATGATGTTACATTTCCCATGCACCCGGCCGCCATTTTGTGCACCTACCTAAACAAAATGGTGTCCACTCACGGGCTATGTAATGTTATCAGACTGTTCGAAATGTATCACACCACAAAAACAAATTATTTAATATTGTTGATGTTGATTGTTAATAAAATGCAAATAATGTAAATATCAAAATAAATTCTGTATTTGTATTTGAATATTTGTTTTACTTCTACCCTCAATCATAATAACCTTCCAAACTACAACGACAAAATCACTGGGATTACACTGATTACACATCATATATTTGAGAAGATCTTAAAACTAAAAAGGACAACAAACCAGGAGATAGTTGGGTAAGACACAAAGTGAAAAAAACCACAAACATTTTGTAAAAAAAATATATATTCGTAATGTGACGTAGCATTTATCGCAGTAACCGAAACTGTTAACAAAATTATGTATTTACATTCGAAAAATAGTGCTTTACAACACAAGAATGAATCACAAATACAATTGAAATCTCTAAAGACTAGTAAAAGGACTAGAAATTAATAATAACTTAAGTAAACCTCAAACTACCTCCCGCTAGTGAGATTATTACAAAAATAGTGAACTTTGTATTTATGTTATGTACAATATTTTTGTCATTACGTGGCCTTCAAACAGTACACAAGCTCTAAATAAGACATATCTCGCGCTATAGACATAGCTAAAGTCGTGCATTTAACTTTATACAATCTTGCTGCCAAATAATTGGGTAGTTTCCAGGGTATCAAAATTAAAAATCTAATCAGTCCGTCAGTTAGATAATGAAAAAATATTAGACATGTAGTTTATTATTTTCTCGTATTAAGTTGCAATACTTAGATAAAATGGCGCTAAGTTTAGGAGTGGGAGGTCATTACGTCAATACGTGCTACAAAATGTAGCACGCTGTGACGTCACACAATATTTCAAATTAATATATCGTCGAAAGTATTTAATTTTGTGAGAAAATAAAAAATACATGTCTATTGTTTTAAATTAATGTACAAGACGGACATTAAAACAAAATTTAGGAAACTACCCTATTATGATCACATCAAAAATATTGACTAAATACTCCAGGCGTTTAGATTCACTTCAACACTTCAAGCAGAAACAGACATAAGGCAACAATTATCAGAACTTGATTTTAAACCCGTAGTATAAATACCTGCCCTCGTTATTATGGTGTCATCTGGTAAAGGATTAAATAAATTGAACTAAACACTCACATCAAGGGCGAGTAGATTTGATGCGGAGATTCAGAAATTAGCAGGGTTACCTGTCAACTGAATCTGTCAACTTTCTTCTTTGGATTTTCGACTTAAACTGTCAAATACCAAGCGGTCACCGGTGACCGCAACCTATTGTTCTGTAATTGTGTCTGCAAAACCGGTACTCGACGAGTTAATATCAAAACATTTAAGTTGAAAATCTAATAAAAGGATTTTAATGAAAGGTATAGGTTGTCCTACTGGTGTCTGTACCTACCTTCAGTTAAATTCGTCCGTAGTTATACAAGAACCGAGAGGCAATGCACCAACCTGTTATGATATGGCTATAAGTTTTCAAGTTCTAGAGTGCCCTCTGTTAATGGTAATACTGTAAATTCTACTTATAAATCACAATCTTTTATAGGTCCTAAGTCAAAATGAGCAACATTCATCTCCTTGGTATTTTATCTAATCGTTGCAAGGTCGATGTTGGTAACAGGCTTCGAGCAATGCTCTCCAACCACAATCAGATGTTAATTAATTACAAACTTATTTAGTTCTTGAAATGACATGTCAATTATGTTTCACCCTGTCCAACTGAAACGTCCCTCTAGAAACAGACTTCCTAGTTCTAAGATTGTGTTTCTTAGCAGAACCGACAGTCACTTTTTTCTTCTCTTCTTCTAAAAGCAAAGGCGGCAATGAGACCTTCCTAATGTTATATTGAGATGTAATACCATTCGGCAGCCGAGTGACATCGCTCTGCGGTATCTCCGGCGTGCATATAGGTTCTAATCTGGCCAAGTCTCTATGCCTTGCAGTAACAACTCTATTATTCATTAACACGTTTCTTTCCGACGCGCTCAACGCCATATTTCCATAATTTCTAGTATCCAACGAAACAAAAGACTTAGCACTATTTCTATCACAATTTAAAGATGAATCAGGCCTAGGATTCCTCATCCACCGGGAGGATGCTAGCTCAGACCTCAGAATGGAGGGGTTCTGTCTCTTTCTATAGGGGCTATGAATTTGTATCGGTGTGATTTGGAGCAGAGAGCAGAACGCGTCGGGTAAATCAGTTTCGTCATTATACATTGGATAGAAGGATACCTTTTCCCGGGACAGCCTGTGTTCGCCCAGATCTTCGATGGAGACACGCGGCGAGTTCTGCGGCGTGACGTCGGTGGAGCTCTGCGAGAGACGCTCCTCGCTCTCGCTAAACTCCTCGTAGTCGCTGTAATGCATAGCGATGACCTCGTCGTGTTCCATCTGTCTGTATGACAAACGCTTTTCGGGCAATTGTATTGCCTTGCCGACGATCCTAAAAATCAATAAATTCTATTCAAATATTTATATCTTGAAGGTCAACTCGTCTGTTATTATATCGTATCACTGTAAGTGTCACGGTCGGCCTTTTACATTTGTATGACAACACAGGAAAGTAATTACACTCGTACAAATGTAGGTACATACCGAAGTATACACAAAACACTGGCTCACAATGTAATTTACACAATATTTTTTACAATGAGTAGGTACAAGTCAATGACGATCTAGTCTTATATTACTAAGTATTACTTCTAATTTAAAATATCCACGAAAATCCGCTTGACAAAATAAAATATACGGAAAGCAGGATTCATGTTGGTTTCAAGTTTCAACGTGTCAAAGGTTTAATGGCAACTATTATTAATCACGACAAAGTCTGGGCTTTAAAGGAATGAATTGTTGGAAATGTATGCTAAGTACGAATTATTTTCTCCGAAATGGCGGCCTTGGCCACATTATTTTATAAAATTTTGTTCTGAAACTCTCAAATATGTAAAGTACGGGAATGAGCGTCACGTTTTCGTTATTACAGTATTTTTACTCATTTCCATAGTGGCACGTAAGCAGTGGGCATGGGCCAGTATTCATTGCGCAACGCGATAACTTGGTGGCGACGCCTTGACCTAATGAACTCCATTTAAAATTAGGACCACCACCTACTTGAGGGGTGAATTAAATATTAATCGCTCTATTGATCGAATGTTAAAACTAACGAGGCCCATTGTCCCAATCTAGTTTCTATAAAGTATAAAAAGTGGGTATTTCCTGTTAAAATTCACAACTTTAAAACTAAATGTCTGCAATGAGTATGAGAGCCAATAATTATGAGATTAATTCAAATCAATCGTAAAATGGGTTTTATTGAATGTCACTTGAACAGAACACTAAATTATGGGATCAAGTTCTGTTGTTGACTGTTGATTTTAATGGCATCAAGTTGACTGCACGATTGGTGCGGTGGCTGGGCAACTGTCGCGGGTTCGATTCCAGCACGGAACAACTCTTTGTGTGATCCACAGATTGTTGTTTCTGGTCTGGGTGTCATGTGTATGTGAACTTGTATGTTTGTAAACGCACCCACGACACAGGAGAAAATCCTAGTGAGGAGCAACATTTTATTAAAAAGAAAAAGTTCTACTATTATAAGATGTCAATAGGCAACTAATTAATGACTTAATTTAATACCAATATTGTATGAGTAACTTTATTTGAACATACTTATTTCTGAAACTACTGTTTTTTTTTATTCTTTTTGAGTTGTATAATCCATTTATCGAGAAACACTATATTAGACTATAAAACATCATGCTACAATTAAAAGGAGTTGAACAGCAGGTGAAACCGAGCATGAGTAGCTATATATTAAGTACTATCCAACACAAAAAGAATTTTCAAATCGGACCTGTACTTCCTGGAATTTTTTTTTTTTTTTTTTTTTATGGAATATATAAGCCGGTAAACGAGCAGACGAATCACCTGATGGTAAGCAATCTGGCGTCGCCCATGGACACCTAGAACACCAGAGGCGTTACAAGTGCGTCACCGGCTTTTTGGGGATTAGGAATTTGAGGATCGTTGGGGATTCAGGGATTGGGGAGATTGGGGAAGGGGAAGGTAATTGGGCCTCCGGTAACCTCACTCACACGACGAAACACAACGCAAGCGTTGCTTCACGTCGGTTTTCTGTGAGGCCGTGGTATCACTCCGGTCGAGCCGGCCCATTCGTGCCGAAGCATGGCTCTCCCACACTTAAATTGGCATATTGAAACTAACAGACTAACTTTTCAGCTTTATACATAAGTATTAAGTTAGTATAATATTGGTCTTGTCGCAATAAATATCCTATCAGTATGAAATATTGAAAAATATTAAGCTTGTACTAATACTTCCTATATAATAATAAATAATCCTTCCTAAGTGTGGGAGACCCATGCTTCGGCACGAATGGGCCGGCTCGACCGGAGTGATACCACGGCCGAGCAGATAACCGACGTGAAACAACACTTGCGTTGTGTTTCGTCGTGTGAATGAGGTTACCGGAGGCCCAATTACCCCACTCCCTAGTCCCCGTCTCCCGAATCCCCGAATCCTCCACAATCCCCAAATTCCCAATTCCCAGAAGGCCGGTAACGCACTTGTAACGCCTTGCTGTTTCGAGTGTCCATGGGCGGCGGCGATTGCTTACCATCAGGTGATCCGTCAGCTCGTTTACCGGCTTATGCTATTAAAAATATAATTGTAGATAATGTCTAACCTGAGTTGTGGGTGCAGCTGTCTCCACTGTTTGCACTCATCAACAATCTGCGGCCGTTGGCTCTTCTCCCCGTCTTCATTGTACAAAGTCCTCTCAATCCGATCCCACTCTGCAGCTAATGTCTTGGTAGCTTCAGCTGTGCTGCGGCGCAGTGCAGACCCAGAACTGCTGTCACTCTCCTCGCTGTGGAAATCTGGAGTTCCTGAAATATTAATATTACTCATTTTCATCTAATGAAAAGACATTTCGAAATTCATGAATTGGCAATTTTCCAGAACTCAAAACATTAAGTATTACTCTGTAGCTATAATATGCAAACACATACTATTCTGTTACTATGTCTTAAACATTCAATAGTGTATCTTAAAGTGCAGAACGCTATTACATATTTTATACTTTATGTAGTCCTCCTTACCAATTTCGGTAATGTTGACCCTTAATAGCTATCACATTTTTTCTATCTTCACATAATATATATATTCACATAATAGCTATCACATATTAAAGGTCACCATTACCATGACATATCCTGCCTGCTAGCCCTCATGTGACTGGCGTAACCAGATTTAGTTTTGAAAATCCAATCACAACTAGAGCAGTAAAGCTGGCCGGAGAAAAGAGTTGTATGTGTAAGTATGTGCATGTATGTGTAGGTTTAGGTCTGTCTTTAGGATGTCTTTATATTTGGCGCTTTATATCTAATGTACCTAGTCGCCTTAATAATGATCTTGCCTATACTTTTATATGACTCAAAGACTTAGTGTCTATAAATCAGACATAAACAAACTTGACACGTTTCACTTGAGATGTCCAAGATCCATTCTTAACATCAAATGGCAGGATCGCATTCTCAGTTCTGAGGTTCTGCGCCATTCCGCAATATATACTTACTTTAATAACTAGCTGTCTAAATATATTTTTGTGACACCATTATAATGGTCAACAATCTTAATCTTGTTCATCAATTATATATAAAGATACCATGCCAAGAATTTTTAACTCACCCTTGAGCATGTAAAGTTCAATTATTCGAAATAATACCTAATTGAAAGACATTCAATTATAATTACAACTTTTCTTTTAATTTATGAGTTGGTCATTACTTTTTCATGACTTTTACAAGCTTACATATCCTCGTATTAGTTTTAACATAGAGAAAACATAACGTACCTGTCTCGCTTTCCGAGAAAAAGTCTGAAAACGGTGTCCCGGCCCTCTCCAGACTGTTGACCATATAAGGTTGCACCTCAAACGAATAATTCAAATTTCGGTTCACAAAACTACTCGTATTTGCTGACAAGGGCGGCAGCTCCTGCCCTGAGCGATAACCGAATTTCTGTTGGTTAATATTTGGCAAACAATCGATTAGTTTACTTATATTTTTCTCCCGTGCCGATAAATAGTTTCGAGCAGACATAATCAAAACTAATTAAAAACAATAAAATTTTCCATTCTCATACTTGTTTGCTAGATTATTATTTTTTGCATTCGTTTAATTTCCAATTGTTTTACGCAATAGTTTCCAATAAATATTTGTTTGGAAATAAATCATCAACACAACAGTCAAGAAAAATATTTGGAATGTCAGAAAACTGAAGAAAAAGCTTGACAGCAACCGCCAGTGTTGTATGTTAATTCCATGGATTTAAATTATATTTACGGTCAATGTGTAGGATATCCTTAGTCACAGGTTGAAGAAGAATAACTAACAAGAAAATTCAAAGAAAATTGCAATTTTTATTATCCTTTTCGTATCGAATAATACAATTTTGCTGTGTATAATTATGTATGTTTGTTCGCAACAAGTGTATTATATTATACATGTATTTTATAGTGACTTATAAAATAGAAGCAGTAGTTAAATTCAATAAATATTCGTATTTTGCGTGTTAATTTATGTTGTAAATAATATGCCACGTAGTAAACACACTGTCACTGAACTAAACTAATGGAGTTTATTATAATACAAAGGGTAAGAAAATAATTTATTTACTAATCACAATAATCTTTCGCACGGTTAGACATTTTTTATTATTATTGTATTTAGATAAGAGCGAAATCTTTTCTCCAAAAAAGCAATAAACAACAACGTATGGAAATACACATAAATAAATAAATACCAACGCAAACGGTACTACGCCCGGTATCACTGCGCTGCTAATAAAACGATGCGGTAAAGGAACGCATTTATTTGTTTTTCGATCGCTCTGTCAGCTGGTTGTGTTGTCTACTATCTCTGTCAATGTGTGACAAAGTGTCAAAGTAATTCTGTCATAGCAAAATCGATCGGTGCAGTGATACAGTTCTGGTTTAGAAATTAGAGGAGTATTAATTAAACAATCATTAAAATGTCGAAAGTAAAAACAAACGATGGTGATAGCGCCCAAGACGAGGTAAATATTGTTAAGTCTTTTTATTGTGCACATAAATTTTGATTTACTTTGTTTGCCGCCTTTATCAGTCGTGTATTAAAATGTATTTAGTTGGATTTCCTTTGTTATTTTGCATGTGTATTGGATCAGATCAAATATTTAGAGATAAGTGTGTTACAGTAGGGCCAAAGGAATTAACGAAATAAATAAAATGACGCAATGCGCCAAACTGCGAGTTGATGACTGCTACATGTATTTGTATTTATAGCTGAATGAGTGGGACGTTAATTTTTCTATAAAAATATTTTCAAAACATAGTGGTCAGGATTAGGAACGTTGTACTTTAAATCTCTAGTCATGGTAAAATATTTGGTTCATGAAAGTTTTCATTTGGATTAATTTCTTTGTTTTCCTCATTCATGATTAAGTAAATGATAATACTTAAGGAATTGTGACAAAACAAGTATACAAATGAAAATTGCCAAAAAAATAAATATTAGAAAAAATAAGTTGAATAATTGAGTGATAAAGTTTTTAGTATTGGTACCTAATATAGTGTATTGTAATATTAATCCAGTACTGTGGTCCATCATAACTTTGTTATCACTGTAAATATTATTTCCAGAAAATATTAATGCCATACACATATATCCAACAAGTACCAGGCAAGCAGATAAGACAGAAGCTTGCTTCCGCATTCAACTACTGGCTGAAGATCTCTGATGAGAAGCTGCGAGCTGTGGGAGAGATTGTGCAAATGCTTCATAACTCCAGCTTACTGTAAGTCCTTACCATTCAATTATTATGATGTAATAACTTAATTCCATGATGCAAGCTACTTACAATAATTCCGTGTAAAAAAGGTCTTATTATCACTTCCATATTTAAGGACTTAATTGGGCAAAAAATTATTGGAGCTTACTTTATAATTTGGAAATAATTCCAAATAGACATAAGATTAAAAAGTTTTTTCTTATTTTCCATATATCCATCCCCTAAATTTGGTCATACAAAAGTGTTCTCTAAACATTAGAAATAAGGTCTATAATGTAATGTAATATTAGTGGAAAGCGGTCACCGGTGACCGCTTCGGGATTTATGGGTTAAACTAAACTAAATCATGAAACATTAACTAAAAATAGAACCAATATTATTTAGTGTCAATCTACTAAAGAAAGTTCAAAATATTGTTATACAAAAAAACTGGTTTCTTAGGAACCTATTTTTATATATTTGACCTATCGACATGACTATTTATTTATGGCAGTTGTGCCAAATTTTCCATTCGTTAAATGTGTTATCAAGATTCAAAGGAAGTGTTTCAATAATGTAAATTAGTATTTTAGAATAATTACTTGCATTGACATCATTGGGTAGTAAAACAGGCACTTCTTCAGAATGTGATGTTGTTGAGAAATAAAATTTAAATAATTCTTTACCTGACCTGTGGTTCAAACACGACTTACACTCAACAGTAAAAATTTTAAACATTAAAAAATAGAATATCTTAAAAATAATATGAGAGACATTGTTTGAGGAAAACAGAATACATATAATTTATTCAAATATTCAGTTTCTTTACAAATGATATAACGTGATAATGTAATTTGTATGCAGTGTATGTACAATTCATTCATCACTATTGTTTGGTATTGACTTGTTCCAGTTATTTTGAAGAATTCTATTTGTTATTCCTTTGACACCTTGTTCTTACTACAATAGCCTGAAGGACATTTGAGGAAAGACGTTTGTACTTCCATTGTAGTCCTTCTGTTTTATATTAATCCATTGTAAATATAATTAAGAGTGAGCAATACTTGTCACTATCGGGACGAGTTGTTATCTAAAATAAATCAACTAATGTGTTGTTCTTTGTGTTGTGTGTGTAGTATGTAAATGATAAATAAATAAACAAATTAACCATGTCACAATAGAGTAAAAATTATATTATCACTGTATCCTTCCTCTTTAGTAGATATATTTATCTGTTTAAATATAATATCTATGCAATGAATCCTTTAAAAAATGTTGCATTCATTCACAGAATATATTTCCTACAGATAATAAATTCTTGTTGCAACAAAGCTATAGGTACTAGACAAATTACTGAAAACACCGTCGTAGTATACTACAGTTAACCAAAAAGGCTGCTAAACTATTATTTCTATATTATTCCCCAATTCTAGCCAACGCAAATTATGCAGAGGCGGAGTAAACTCAGAGCTCACCCTAGACAATCACATAGTAGGCCTGCCATCTTTGGATGGTTTGGTTTACGCGTCTCGCGGCGCCCCTCTGTACTAAAACCTGGCGCCCAGGGCGCCAACTTACCTAGTTTGCTTTAAGGATAATACGGCTCTGACCTAATGCATGAAATGCATGACAACTTACGAAAAGTAGGTCTAAACTACTGTAGACTTTACGGAGAACGATAAACATGATAACCGATGTTATGGATACCTATTCTAACTCTCATTAACCCTTAGTTTCATTTTGCACGCGCATACCACTAGCTTATTGGCGCCTTACTATAATGTTGCAGCGTAAAACACAGGCTACCACCCGTTCAGCAGGACAAGATTGACATAACTTTCTTTAACGCGTGAGTTTTAACTTTATTTAATTTGTTACTCGGTGATTGGTCACTATTGTCCTGCTGGGTGTGGTCATTGGTGGGTTGATAGTGGTACCTATGCTTTATAGGGGAACTTTATCTTTTGGTCATTGGCTGGGTTTGAAAAGGTTGATGGAAGAACATTCACGAACGAAAGTCATTCTGGCATATTGTCTGAATATGTATTGTATGAACGGGTTGATGAATGTGGAAAAATAAATGAGTTTTGTTGGTTTGTCGCGAAGAGTATGATGTGTATGGCTAATGTATATTGTATACGGGTCCCGTTGGTATTGTAGATAAGTATAATACTATACTAAAGGGGTTCGGATACATACCGAATGGGATTTTTTGAATATATTTTAAGGCAACCCGGAAATTTATCGGAACCTTCTGAGACACAACTGGAGAGGTCCATGGGCATGGACGATTGCAACACAATATTTTATTATTAAAAGGTACTATACAAAAATAGTTTTTACAATTATGGCTATGCGTTCTAAATCGAGTTACTTAAATGCTCATGGTGCGCTCGTCTGCAAGCTATTATTTCACGCCATCACATTTAAGAGCGGCCATGAATTATAACGATAATATTTGAATTTGCTATTCTAAAAACGCGAAGTCGCAATAACTTTGAAACCTCTATTTAAGTACTTACCTACAGTACTAAAGAAGGTTTACGATCCGATATTTCCATTCCTTACGAGACGTAGATAATGTAATTATCAGTCATTCAGCCTGTGTAGTTTCTGTTCAAAGAATTCGCGTAAGCGTATAAAAATCTAGCGTCTATGAAACCAAAGAATTTGGCATCGTTGGCTAACAATGTGACTCAACTGTGTAAATTGATCACAAAAATTCCCGATGCTATGAAGCAAAAAGATGAAAGAGCAAAGCGGATACGTAAGTGCCTACTTACATTTTTCGCATATAAAAGTACTAACTACTTCCGCGCGGTTTCACACGCTCAGCTCAACCCCTATTGGTCGTAACGTGATGTTTTATAGCCTATAGCCATCCTCGATAAATGCGCTATCCAAAACAAAAATTGAAATCACACCTGTAGTTACGGAGATTAGCGCGTTCAAACAAACAAACAAAAAAACAAATTCTTCCGCTTTATATATCTAATAGTATAAGATATACTCGGACATTGTATCTACAAATGGGTAATTTAAAACGGTCGGCAACTAAAACTCTTTCGACCTAAGTACCTACCTAGTGACAACTATTTCCTAACCATACTACCTCTAGATATGCATATTCCTCCTCGCTCATTAAGATAAGCTATTTTCATGGCCTCTTAATGTATACTAATACCTACATGAATAAATAAATGCAATGTTAATGTTTTGTTTACTTTAGCCAGCATCGTTAATTATATCGTTAGATATAAACTAAACAAATTAAATTGACCTTAATTATTATAACTGTGAATGCCTAGTTGACACAGTTTGTGTAATTTGCGGTCTCGGGTTCAACCTGTAAATTAGACAGTGTATTGTTGTTTTTTTGAGTTTTACACGCTCTATAGGCTTACCCTACCCCTTCGGGGATAAAAGGCGTGATGTTATGCCAAATTGTAATAGGTAACATAACATAACATCACGCCTTTTATCCCCGAAGGGGTAGCAGAGGTGCACATTATGCCACTGTACAATTTAACACCCACTTTTCACTATTTATGTTATGAGTCCCATGTAATAGGGGGTGAGCCTTTTGCCATATACCGGGCACAATTCCAGACTCCGTGCTACTACTGAGATTTTTTAAAACCCAGTAATATTGTACTAGGTACCTACTACTAGTGTGTTACATTTTTTTTTTCATTTATCGTATTTACAATAAGTACTCTGTACGGGTAGGTACCTATATCCATTTAAAATAGCAACCAAAATCCACTAAGGTTTAAACTTGTGCTATCATGAATCAATCTCAAAATCGAATTTTTATTAAATGAGGTTTTACAAATATGTATATACGTTAATGTTTTATTAATGTATTGTATTCACAGCAACTATTTGTATCGGGTTAAATACACATGTGCAGTTTGCCTATGCCGTTGGGCCATTAAATTGTTTCCTAATATTATGTGTACGCCAAAATGTTATTAATAAGAATGATTATGATTAAATGTCGTCGCCTGTCGGTACACGCTTAAATTAATCAATTAGGTAGAGGTGACATTCATTGTCACGATAAAGGTGGTTTGCTAGTACCTAGTTAGTAGTTGCGCGAACTTTATACGGAGGAAAAATAAAATACCTAATATCTCACGGGCTCATCTCAAAACAATTCATTGCTGTTATTAACTACTGCTCAGAATTCTAAACATAACATGAATATCGTCATATCTGTTAAAAGGTAGAGGTTTTTTTGAGATAGCCAAGCAAGCGATCCACCTGATGGTAACTAAGTTGCCATCGGGTGATTTGTGCAATCACAACATCAGAGAAGTTAGGTACAAGTGCGTTACACAAACATCACATCACACACAAAGAGATCGATGTACCGAGATGTGAGAGATGTACCGTGCAGGAATCGAACCCGCGACACCTAGCGCAGCAGCCCGTTATCCAGGAACTGCATCAATCGTAGTCATGTAGGTAGCCAATCAAGTAGGTAATTATTATTTTTACCTAAAATAATAAAGTAGGTACTTTGCAACACCATATATGGGACACAATGTTCTCAGAATTTTATCAAAACTACGATCTTTGTCGTCCTTGCCACCTGGACCGATGAGACAGTTGACCAGGAAAATGAATTAAATAATACTCGATCGACATTGACCATGTTCTTGTAACAATTATCTTGATATGAATAGATATAATGAATTACTCTTGGCTTTTAAAGATAAAACATGATAGTTAAAAAATGTACTGTAACGATGACATATTGATTGCTAATAACAATAAAAAAAAATCTAAGGTTTTTGTCGTGACTCATATCTTAGAACTGTGCTTACCTAACACATGTAATAGATACGTTAAACATGATTACATTTATTAAAGTCAATAATACTATAAAGCGGAAACTTTTTGTTTATAAAGCTTCAGACTATTTTTTTTTGCCAGGCACTGTACCTATGGTTTACAGTCTACGCAGGTAAAAACTATATTTTGTTGAATGTAAAATATCTTAAAAGAAGGAGCTATCTTCGTTGGATAAACTCGAATCAAATAACGGTTAAAATAATAGGAGAAAAACACCCAACGTAAACAAATGAAAAGTTAAGTGTCTACCTAGGTTCTCAGCAATTTAGCTGTTTATTAATTATACATATTTAAGTAGTACCTAGTTTTAAAGAATTATATCTATAATAATTATTAAGCTGCTGTGTTACGGGAAACAAGTTAAGTAGGTACACAACAGTTTAGATAACAATGAACGAAGATAGGTAATGATTTCAAAGTCCCAACTAACAGTTTCAAACGACATTGTCAGATGCAATTTAGTTTACCTAGATGTTTTGTTTGATATTTCTATATAACACTATTGTGTTATATTTACTACTTACTAGGAAGGGTAATAATTCAGTGTATTGCGGGAACTGACTGCGAATTCATTACATGGTATTCCCTATCTGCGATCTTGTTAATGGATGTATTTAGTGGCATCGCTAAAATAAACTCTGAGTCATTGGGAATTACGTGCCATACGTTGAGACAAATGGCACAGTTGGCCGAAACACACTCCTCATAAAAATACTACATACATATGCCTGCAAGCCATTCCAAGAAGTCGTAGGCGTAATATATTAGATTTTTTATTGATAGTTTCGACTAAAAGCTTTTACTGACGGATAATGGTGACGTGATCGGCCATGGAACTTTTTCCTTGTAGCCTTACTTCCATCGATATTGAGACACTTCTTGTAGGTTACTCTATCGATATTCTTGGCGAAAATTGAGTTGAAGATCAGTAGTTAAAATATGTTTTCCAATGCCAAAAGAACAATAAAATATTTCTTATCTCCAGATCTCATAGCCGAAGGATTAACAGTTAGTTAATGCACTTAACAATAAAAGAAAAACAAGCAACAAACTCAAGCCACCCGAATGATATGCCCCAAAAAACTTTTAGATTTACGGTTAGAAAATAGAAACACAAAAACAACAATAAACATAAAATGTAATAGGTATTATCATTAGCAATTTGAAGAGAGCAAATGGCAGATACTTCGTGTAAAATACTGACATTCATCCCAATCTGGTTAAGACTCAGTAGATTACTGATCCCACCTCCAAAATCTTCAAGCCATTCTCCCTACTAACGAGGTTCTCCTTTGATCCAGGATCGACGACATTCAAGACAACTCGATCCTCCGGCGCGGTATCCCGGTGGCACACTCCATCTACGGGGTGGCCAGCACCATCAACGCGGCGAACTACACTATGATCGTAGCCCTGCAGAAGACACAGGAGTTAGGACATAATATGGTAAACAATATGTTCTTTCTTAAACCTTATATTAAGTAGCATTTGTTGACAAAAACGTCTCTTATTAAGAACGGAATTACCAGTTTTCTTAAGAGCGTCCAGATGCGGACCGGGGGACGAACGGTCGACGATTACATTAGAAGATTTTTATATAGAAACAGTCAAGTGAAACAAGTGAGCCTGAGTCAGCCAAGCTATTTTGTAGAAGCTAACTAAATGTAGATCGATGTAATGCAAATACAGTAGTTATTGTTATAATTAATTGTATACTTTTTAACAAAGCCCTATCCTTGTATTGGTCGGTTAAGTGGCCAATCAATAGTTACTGTTTCTTTATTAAATATTTTTTTTTACCTGCATAGCACATCAAATAACTTGGTACACTATATATATTAATGGTAATAAAAAAGTGTTCTGTTTATTGTTCTAGGCGACCACAGTGTACACAGAGCAACTGCTAGAGTTGCACCGAGGGCAGGGCATCGAGATATACTGGCGAGACAACTTCCAGTGCCCCTCCGAGGAGGAGTACAAGGAGATGACCATCAAAAGTGAGATATTGTGTAATGTTTACTACTACTAATGTTACGTATCTATGTATAAAACGAGAGTGCCTATTGCAAGTTTCTTTTACGTCATGTTAATGGCGTTCGGCGTTACGATTGGCCTGCTCAAAGTTAATCAGCCAATCAGAGGGCTAAACACGGTAACGTGTCATAACATATTCGCATTACACACTCATAAACCGGCTGCACATCGCTGCATTAACTGGTTGACTGCTGTCGCGCGACTTCTATTCCTGTACAGAGCATAATTGGGTAGATGACTAATTTTTATTTTATTGTCCGTCTGGTAGATTATTTAAAATCGTTAGACATATTTTTTATTTTCTTACAAATAATTTCGAAGATATGTTGATTTGAAATATAGCATGACGTCACTTTTGAGTACGATTTATACTCTAAAATGATGTAGCTACCTCCTGCTCCTAAACTTTGATTCGTTTTATCTAAGTATTGTTTTCTTATATGAAAAAATAAAAAAATACGTGTCTAATATTTTTTCATACCCTGTCATAATCCCTATTATTTGTTTGTAAACGCATTCACCATGCAAATGTAGACTAGTTTGTTTAAGGTAACGTGTTTATAAAGATATACAGTGGTGTTACAGGGGAACCTAACGACACTCGACACGCTATACTTTCTTTCATAGTAAGATATTCTTGAAAATATGCTTTGCCCAACCAGCGAAGTAAACCACAATAAAACTGGCATGTTCCGCAATTACATTAATAACTAGCTACTTCCTTGCGGTTTTACACGCTCTTCTCAGCTCCTATTGGTCGAAGCGTGATCTTTTATAGCCTATAGCCATCCATTATATCAATATCAACCATTTATAGCCTACAGCTATAGCCATCCTCGATAAATGCACTATCTAACACAAAAAGATTTATTCAAATCAGACTTGGTAGTTACGGAGATTAGCGCGTTCAAACAAACAAAAAAACTAAATCTTCCGTTTTATATAAGAGTATAACATATAAGATTACTAAACAACTAAAGCAAGTTTCCTACTGACCATATTGACATGTAAAATATTGTTGTAAATGTTACAGAGACGGGCGGTCTGTTCATGTTGGCTATCCGTCTGATGCAGTTGTTCAGTGACAATAAGTCTGACTTCAGCAAGCTCTCCGCCATCCTCGGACTGTACTTCCAGATCAGAGACGATTATTGCAACCTGAGGCTGCAGGAGGTAAGCAACTACAATCAGGGGCTGATAACATCTAAAGAGCGCCCTAAGTCTTATAGGCGCCCTTAATTATTATTATTAGGCACGCGTACCCCACGGCGCCTCTATACACCTTTTTTTTTCTATCGCTATGGAAATCCTTGTGGACTTCCCATCGTGGGGATGACGGTGGGGCGTGCCGTACTCTTATCGGCGATAACCACCGCGGTGTTCCTTCACTGCCTGTGACCGTGACCCGGGTTGCCCTTACAGAATCACCACACGTCTCTATACACCTGGCGCCCAAAACAGTTGCTTAATTTGCCTTAGGGGTAATACGGCTCTGTCAACAATAATAATAAGCTTCAAATCAATATTATTTATTTAGGAGTCCTCTGTTGCATGTCCCACTGGGACGAGCCATGTAACCCATGTGTTATCATACTAATATTATAAGGGTGGTATTTGATACTTTAACTGTAAAGTCCCTTTTTTCAACCAAAATATTAGAAATTACCACCAAAAATACTGAATTGCACACTAAGTTTACATAACATAACATCACGCCTTTTTATCCCCGAAGGGGTAGGCAGAGGTGCACATTACGGCACTTAATGCCACTGTACAATGTAACACCCACTTTTCACTATTTATGTCATGAGTCCCATGTAATAG